TTGTTATTGAGTTTTTTTTCCCAATATTTTGAAGGTTAGCAAATTCTAATAATCTGAATTGGAAATTGGTTTGTGTATAAAAAGAGAATTGCTAGTTTGATTTAATAGTCGCGACAGAAAATGCACGATGGTGCTCATACGTAGCATCCAAACAGAAGCATTTGCCGACAGAAAAATGCCTTCAAGCAGCATTTACAAAAATAGAATGATTAGATTTGGAATGATTCAATGAACAGAATAAGGAAATATTTCACATCGCAGAAGATGGTCCTTGAAAAGGAAGCGGATTATTTCTTCTCTGTCATCTAGCAGCAAAAGTTATTTTTCGCTCTTGTTGTCAGTTCTTTATTGAATTGTGAAGCAGACGGTATCGTGTTTATGACCAAAACTTCATAGCAGATCATCTGATGTTGAAAAGCTTATTCTCTTTCAGACTGCTGATATTTTTAGGCGAATGAACTAGTTTACAGATATCACTTTGTAATTTTGTAGTAGTATATTTTGAGTTTATACTTGCGTTTCTGGTATTTTCTGTTAAACTTTTGATAAGTGTTCGATAATATTAAAGATGTGCTACGCTAATACGAGCAGTTTGCTAAATTTTATTGATATATAGCTACCGAGAGTTTTTTTTTATATTGGGCAAAAAATAAGCATTTTTTTAATCCTTCCATTAATTTGCGCTTTCTTTTTTGTACTTCCATCTGTCTCCCGTTAATCACGTGTAGACAAGTGAAATATCTAAATTCATAGATTTATTTTGTGGTCTGGAGGAATGTAGATACATTTGTTCAAGCAGAAGTCTTGCTTTGACCTAATAGTTACCAAATTTTTCTGCCAAATTTTTACCGCATCTTCATTCTGGCCAGGTAGATGTGTCTAGATCTTTGCTTTGACAGACACGGACAATATCAGAAGTTTTTTAATGTTATTTGAATTCACTGTTTGGGAGCATTCATTTTCTTTCTGTTTCAACATTCGCCGCTTTCGTGAAAATTACATTAAACAGGGAAACCAATTTGTGAATTGAATCCAAGTCGTTAAGAGCTAGAAGGAGATAGAGCTAGCTAAAAACTGACAGATTGCAATAGCGTCTTATTCTAAGTATGAAAAGAAAGTGATTAAGATCTGATTTAAGCCTATAGTTGATATAATGGGAATACTTTTGGTTAATTTTTGCTGTCATAATTTTCTTTGTTAACTCACATTTTTTCTGAGATTCAGATTTCGGTTAAAAGAGAATTCAAATTATTTAGTCGCTCTCCAATGAACAGATTTATGTGTTCGCTATGTTTATGAAATCTAATCACTTCTTTATTTTTTACATAAAAGATTGTTTCTTGATTTTAAAAGATTTATCGTCATTTATGTAAAGTTATTCGCTACTGTCAGTACCAAAGATGCAATATTCTTTGTGTCACTGTGTGTTAGATCTGAAGCAAGAACTAAGTTTCCATAGCTGAAATCTGTAGAAAGTAAGACCTTTACAGAATTAATGCTTACTCCTCACGTATGTATGTATTTACACATATTACCAATTTCTGTGCTACTGCATTAAATGGAATTTCTTGGGTTTAAATTTCTACTCGTCTTATTTAAATTTAGCAATTAATTTTTATACTTATACCGCGCAGAAATAAAAAATGCAAAGCTTGAATTTGAGCAATGTATTTTCTAGAATCACTGATTATCGTAAATTTTTATTTTTGTTATTTGAATCTATAAGAAATTTTCTTCCATCCCACCCATGCCTTCGGCTAGCATCAGGAGGTCCGGAGTTGAAATCTCGGCGAGGGCATTGCTCATTTTTTATGTTTTCTGCTCCGATAATTGCCTTCTTGAATTCCCCATATGTGGAATTTATTAATTATCGTACGTATTAATTATTAATTCCCCGTGCGTGCTGCTTTGGTGTAAATGTTTGGCACGTCCAAATAGCAAGTGAAAGATCCATTGTTCGAACTCCGGTGAGGATACAGTTGCTTTTTCATATTTCTTGCTTCTAAAACACCTAGAAGTCTCTACAAGTCCTAGAAGTCTTAATTGCTTCTTTCATCGATAAACCTAGAGACTAGAAATCTACTGTATAAGTAGCAGTATTAACAGGTTAGTGTTGTAAAATTATGTATAATTGTATTTTATTTCAAAATTTAAGCCTTCAGGTGCGAATGCTTCGTCCTAGTGTGATTTCTTCTTAATGTAAATAGCGAATAAAAGCATCATTGTGAATGTCATATTTACAGTTTACTTAACAACACATACTGCTTTGTAAAATTTTTAGCACTCCGTTAAGAATTTTTAAATGAAAGACCGAAGTCACACTAATGTAAACTTTATCTTTCCCCCTTATATCATATACAGCATTTTTATAAGCATAACGTTAGTATGAACTTGCTTCGCATTTACTACAGAGGGAAAAACTTTTACTCATAGGTAAGTATCTCAGCATGGGTATTTTAAACGAAGTACTTAGATTCCTGCTGTTTGCATAGTTTTCATCACGTACTGCTAAGTACCCAGTTTCCACTGAAAACTCTATATGAAATTTGGTGGTTTCCTGAGAGTTAGTATGGGTTTATTCGTAATTCAAATATTTAACTTACCAATGAATTAATGTTAGCACGGGCGTAGCTAGAGGGGGGCAAAGGGGGCTTCTGTCCCCGGGCGTAGAATCCAAGGGGCGCCAAACTGATGTTACGGAATTTTAGAATTAAATGTTTTCCATCCTTGGCAAGCAGTAGGGGGCGCGCCCTGGGCGCTGAAAACCCTAGCTACGACTCTGAATGTTAGAAGAAACAGCGAAAATGCTTGACTTTCTCCTGGAAAGTTTCCTAGAAGATGCTGAATTGCAATAATGACCTTTTACTTAGTTTTAGACTTTCGTATCGTTGGAGAAACTCTGTCGGAATGAGAAGTAGATGAGATAGCAGACTTATCATACTATTTAGCATACGAATTTAAATATGTTGGGAATATTTGTATTTAGAAATTTAAATAAGTCTAAAAGCATGGGTTTTGCTAAAAGTGCTGATGAATTAAAAGACTTATGAGTTTCGAATTCGCGTTTAGTAAAATTAGTATTAGCCTACTTTCACTACTAAACAGGTTTTTAAACCCTTAGGCAGCAAATTTAGTAAAGTGCTTATTATATTTTGTTCCTTCCGTGAAACGGAAAGAATTTAAATTGTTGTTGTCCTTTGCATTTAATCTGAACGCATTATAGCAACCAAGCAAAAATTATTGCATTCAGATTAATGTTAACGTCCCTCTTCGAGGAATCTCAGCATCACGTTGCGAATACACTTACAGGACACCAGGTATTCGAGCTTTGATCTTGATTGGTAACCTGTTTGAGAAATATTTCATTGACAGAGCAGTTGCATTCTTCTTGCTATCGCAGTTAATTTGTGGACATTAGTCGTTATTTCATTCGCGGCACTGACCCTCACGCACACTCACGATCTTCATGCATCACTGCTTCGATGGCGCGCAGAACCACGCCCTCTTCCCAGCGCAAACTCTAACAACGCAGCTATTGTGTCCCACTGGCCCAAAGGGTTGCCATAAGATGATCACAAAACAGGCTTTTTTTTTTTTGTTCTTTGTTTATTGATATATGTTTGGCTTCCTGTTGTTATATCCGAATTCTATTTAATTTCTAAAATTATCGTCGAGATGTTTCATCACATTGAGCAATATTTTCAGCATATTTCCCACATTCAGTCTGCAAAATAAGTAAATCCTATTTTATATTTCCATCAGCATATCCAAGGTTATTGAAGTTCGTTTGTGGGTAACAAAAGTGCATTTGTACATTTTTTTTCTTCGATTTTTATTCTCTCGTTTTCTGTAATCTTCATTTTATTTAGGAATGATTATTTATTGCTTAAAATCTTAGGCAAGTTCCCAAATAGGGTGAAGAAATTTCCGAAGGAAAAGGAATATAATCATTACCGTACTTGGTAGAGCATTCACTTCAAACTGTATCGAGCAGTGGTAACGTCTTGCCAACCATCATAATCCTAAAATATGCACTCCTAACCATTTTATATGGTATTTTCCACATCGGCACTGTACACAGTACTTAATGAGTCAAGTATTATACTTGACATTCGAATCATCAATATTATTCATAATTGGTATGTGTCCCTTCTCGAACAGGAAAACAAGGATTATAAAAGTACTCAGTCCACATCGAATAGCAAGCCGAATCTTGGAAGACCTTGTGGTTAAAAGTACTGGCTATCTGAATGCTATGTCAAGAGTTCGATATTTACCGGAAGCAACTGCTGAGTGTGCAGAATTGCATTTTAAAACATATCGCCTGTTTCGTTCCTACTTCCATCAACTGGCGCACAGTTTCCATTTGAATCTTAGGAACTCAAACAGCATTGGCCAATGGCCATCTTAAGTAATTATTTGTAAATAATTTATTATGTTTCTGTATTTGGTTTCCTGCACTATGTAGATTTTGTATTATTTCTTATTGCTTCTGTATTAATATATTGCGGATGTAGCCTATTTTCAAGTAACGCCTTATCATCAACAGTTATTCAGACCATGCAGTATTTCGTAATGATCATTTAGTTTTGATGGAGGTTGGACTTGGTGTCCAAGCACTCCGGTGCTAACACCATTTCTATTCTCTCCTAATAAAGTCCGATACTCGTTGGCTATCCATTTAGATTTACGTCCTTCTGGAATTATATCTTAAGGTTTTTTTCAATCTGATTTCCCTCTGGAAAGTGCTTCAAATTATAACTGTATTTCAGCTAAACACTACAGTATCCCGGCAACTGAATAAGATGAAAGAGGATATTCTATGCTGCTGAAAAGATTAAAGTTGTGTGATCCAGTCAGGGAGATACCCAGAGCTGGATTAACTCTTAAGCAAAATAAGCATTGCCATTTTATTCTTTGTTGATGTTTTATTAACCTTTAACCAGCATGGGTTGTGATTAGATATTTTTTCTGATGTAAATTTGTTTCTTTTATTTCAGTGTACTATCAAAGTGTACACAAAAGTATTATGTGCAGATATGGAGTACAAAACATTGTGCATCTCTCAACAAACTACGAGTAAGGAAGTGGTTCGGATGCTGCTATCAAAGTTCAAAATGAAGCATCGAGATCCTAATCTCTTCTATCTCACCATGGAAGTTTGGATGCGGAAAACAGGTACCTGTTTTTAGATTTTATAAATAAATAAAACATAAAATGTTTAAGTATCATTCCAGAATCTCTCTGGTGTATTTTCATTTAAAGGTCCATAAAGACTGACAACGCAAAATTTAGAACGAATAATTCATATTTAATGCAAAAATTGTCATTTAGGGTTTGGGATTTAAAATTTCTCTGTAGTTTCTTTTTTAATTATCAAACATCAGAGATCGAATTTTAATGCTAAATATATGTTAAAATTGTACAAAACATTTATCCATTTGTATGCTGAGACTACTTTTTTCATATGTACAGATAAATTTACTATCTAATTATGTTGGCATTTGTAATTAGGTCACATGTTAAAAATAAAACTCTTGATGTTTGTCAATGTCCAGATCTTTAACTTTTAAGGAGGTATGTAAAATTTAGAATGCAAAAAGTTTAAAAATAATCTTAATCTGACTTGTGATGATTATGAATTTATAAAAACTTTAGTTTAATTTTTTTTTGCGTCCTGTGTGTCTGATTGAACATATTTTTCTCATTTAGATGTTAAGTTAGAAACAAGTTTTGATTTTGTAAATGAAATGGGGGGATTGTCATTTAGTGATTCATCATTCTGTAATATGGACGCTAATTTTTGTATTGAACGAGAATGTAAAAGTCGAAATAAAATCTTAAAGTAGTTTCCGAAAGTGTAGTTCCGCGCAGGAGGATTCGAATAAAGTCCAGCAAGTAGTTAATAAAAGAAAAAAAAATCTTAAATAAAATAAACTATTTTATTTCATTATGAAATAACAAAATAAAAATTTACAATGTGTTCTTGCACTTCATCAAGAAAAGCTATAGCTCAGCAATCAAAACTAATATGTAACTTTAAAGAAACGAATTAAAAGAACTCTTATGATGTCAATATTCTGACGATTAACTAAATAAAAAGCTTAAATTGAACACTTTTGAATACTATCAGAATAATTTTTGAATAAATATGTGGATTGAACGTGAGCCATAGTCATTTACTATACGTACAGCTGGCTAAAACTTATATGTTCGTCCAAGAGTAATTTTCCTAACCTTTTTAAATAAGAAGATATGCATTGAAATAAGTCCATCAACTTATGCAATGTATTGTAAGAAAAAGAATCCAAGTATAAAATAGCGGATGTATTTGGGAATTATAATCAAGAAAATACCTCTCTCTAATGGCATTTTGGGTAGGGGTTACGGAACCCAAGCGGCTCTGGGGAACAGCATTATCAACATTCATAAAATTAAACGTCTTTAGTTTTTAAAATCTTTACTGACTGTATTACCATCATTGAAGCGAGTGTTCTGCATATAAATTTTCACCATTCCATGCATATTTTCTAACTGGAATATATTCTACTGAAGAATCGTTCGCACTAGCTACCGACTTTAGAAACTGAAAGTAAGAGTCGAGTACAATATTACGATAAAATATCACTGTGACAACCTGAAAAGATAATAGTTTCTTTAAACTTAAACTTCTTCCTATTTATATCGAATTTATTCTAAATCATACTTTAATTTTTTTAACCTAGATCTTTAGAATTTTCTTGTGGCAGTAGCATTTCTTAGGCGCAATACAATGTTTTTATACGTTTAGGATTTAAAACAACAAATTTAGCTTTAAGGAAATGTCTGCTTCGGAATATGATTATCCGAATTAAGATACATGTTCTTATAAATGTTCATATTTTTGACGTAATCTTTAATCGTTTTAGTGTGCTATAGTTAAAAGAATGCAGTGGTTTTCGTAAATGTTTTAGACGAAAATATGATAAATGTAATTTAATTTAAAAGACGATTAGCCGGGTTTATGTGTGCAGAAAATAACATCTCCAAAGACAGAGTTACTGATCCTGACGATATCGTAAGATATATAATTTCAGATTTTATATTAACTAGCCGTTGGTTGTGCCGAGAGCTAAAACTCTGAAAGTTCTGAAAGCCTTGATTATCATGCATCTTCTGCATTATATCAGAACTAATATTTGCTGATCAGTACTCTATTGTAGAAAAATCTGTGGGTTGATTATAGCCTACCTTCTTGAAATTAGATTTGCTTAATATGAGTCTGACATTACGATACACATAAAGCCGGTGCTAATTAATTATTGGGATTCGCTGAAATCTGAGTAAATGTCTTTAGAGATCGGCTTTGATTAACCGCTTTGGAGTGGGGGAAATAAATAAGTAAACAAAATATTTATTGAAAATTTTAAAATTATGGTTTGTTTTTACAAATTTGATACGGGAAACTGGGGGTTCATTTCTAAATGTGTTAGTATTAGAATTGCTTACACATGGATCATCACTAACAAAGCAGCTGAAGCATCCAAACAGTGGTAGCGCATATTAGCTTTCATTACAGGCTACTGAACTTGCTTGCTGTATGGAATTTTTATCGATTTCTCTCGTGCATAATGCAAATGCGAACCTTTTTTCTGTTACAAAGTTTTCCATGAAGACATCCCGTTCCAGGCAGAAAACCGTCATTTGCTTTCCGATCATAAAATAATAAACATTCACTGATCTTACGCAGAGCTGTCTTAATGCGTGGACCTGCTACACTCTTGCCCGAGGGTCCCATAGGCATAGGGGGCTGACGGTAATCCGTTTATATTTCATATTTCATTTACATTTCACTTCTGTGAGCAGTGGTAATGCTGTAACGACCGTTTTGATCTTAGATCGGGTTAGACACGTACTGTTGCATATTTTTAATTCCTCCTTTTGCCTATATGCTAAGTCAAAATTCACTTATTTAAAATAAAGTAACTTCTATGGCCCACATGAATAGGTGAAACCCAGGTTACAATTATTAATTGCCTTTCTTAACAACAAAACGACATTTAAAATAAGTAAATGAAGTAGGTATTGCGCAGTTTTTTTAACTGCGGAACTTTTTGAGTTGTTACACTACACTGCATGATCGTTTCAAACGAGAAAAGATTCATCATGGACAAACCCCCTGTAACTTACCAACTGTATACTTCCTATGTGCATTTTAAAATGCAAGAAATTTACCTTCCATCTTTTCCGTGCACTTCCATAATTGGCGAAATCAACTGAATCCATCTGTCCTTTCCAAAATAGTGGTCTAAAACGATTTGCAAAACATCTGAGCTTTTTAGAAAAATTTTCGTTTTTGTATAGGTTTACGAGGTCTTGAGTGCTGCTGAAACCTTCCATCTCGAATAGATCGCATTACAAGAATCAAGAACTATATAAACGAGACATGACATAGTTGACTACTCTTTGATTTGGGTTAAATTACAGAAGCAGTAGCTTTGCATAGGTTCGCAACCATTATATGACCAATTTTCACTATTTTGGTGGGTAGCTTATTTCCATACCCTTATTCATAGAAATTAGGGTATGTTCCATCTGAAAATAATTTCGAAAGTAATCCTATGCATTAGTAATATGCGAATGTTCCCCGTGATCATCTGTTAGTCCATGATGGGTATTTTCCTCGCGTCAGTGACTACGACCTTGTCCTCCACCTCTTCTCACCTGACCTCGCTACTGACACGCTTGCTAATCACACGGGAAACTAACCGAGTCCATCTTTAATTGCACTAAGCTGCTCCCACATACGCACGCCCGGTGAAATTTTGGTGTGGAGATGATTTAAAACTGCTGTTTTTCCTCAGCAATGTAGAGTATCAGCGCATGCAGATGAGAGTGAAAATTATGAAACATATTCAACTAAGACCTTTCTGTTTCTTCATAGTTGAGTTCTAAAACCTTGAATAACGAATAGATCAAGAAGTTTGGAAAAACTTGAATAGCGAATAGATCAAGAAGTTTGAACACAGAGAGAAGTTTCAAAACTCGCACTTCCCCCATTTAATTTCGGAGTTATTTGGAGGCTAAAGACATTAAGTGCATTTCAGTCTGTTTTTCTACATACTTTGAGATCACACAGGTCATTGCACAGGCGTGAGATGAAAGCAATTTCTATTTCGACATTGCAGCGGTTAATGTTTGGGAGAGAGATACTGATTACGAAAAACGCAAAAAACATTTATTACAAATTCGATTTGTTTTTTAAAAAAAGTAGTGTTTGTTCAGATACTGATGAATATCGTTGCAATATAGGAAGTCGTGGCTTCCTAGTTGCTCTCAGACAAATGATTTAATCGGAAATTTAGGACATCTTAAGTCTATTGAACTCTTGAGCTCAGATCAAACGGGACGAGAGGATGAAATTAGCACTTGGAACATTAATAGATAATGGTTTATTTGCCTATAGGAAAGCAGTCGCAAAGAATCTCTAGGGAAAAGAAGGCAAGCTCTCGTAGACACAATGTAAACCAGTTGGCTCGCCCTCAGGCAAATTTCGAATCCAAGTCAGTATGCGGTGAAGCAAACACGCAGGGTGTAGTCGAGGCGGAAAATCGATCTTACTTTAAACGCTCGTGAAGCAGAAAGCGTAAATCTTTTATTTGATAATTAGCTTTTACTATTTTTTTTTTTTTTTTGAAAATTTTGCTTTGCAGTATATGATTTTTTTATTTTACATCCACTTTTTTCGTTTCATAATTATTCATATTAATACTTAAATATTTCATAAATGGTTACTATTAGTTTAATACTTCGTTTAATTACGGCTTTAAAATATGATTTAATTTTAAATGCCATGTAGTACGTATGTACGCAATTTAATAAATGTAACGTTTGTTATTGCACATGACAGAATTACTGAGATATGGCAAAGCACACAAAGGCTATATATTTAATAGTCTGAAATACATATCAACCGTTAGCAATTTTAAAATAAATAAATGATGCACTCTTCAATACAATTTTATTAAAGATTTTTGCTTATTCAGCTTGAAAGAAATAAAGACAACACATATAAATTAAGATATTAAAAAATTTATTTACACAAAATTTCATACTAAGATACACAATTATCAAATCACTATGACATAATATATAACAAGCAAATGTATGATTTTTCATACAATCGCTGATAAAATCTT